TGGGTGTGGGTGTGGGTGTGGGTGTGGGTGTGGGTGTGGGTGTGGGTGTGGGTGTGGGTGTGTGGGTATGGGTGTGGGTGTGTGGGTGTGGGTATGGGTTGTGGGTGTGATTTTTCATTTTCTGTATATCCACACCCCACACCCACATCCACCCACACCCACCCACACCCACGCTCACACCCTCAAGCTGGTTAGATGAATTGTGCTTTGCTTTTTTCATCAATTCCTATGTTAGCCATAGTATTTTAAAACTATTCATCAGTCTATCGTATCCATCACTTATTTGAAATATGATATATGAGTGTAAACGATTAAATTTTCTTCTCATTGAGAAATTGACCGTTTATATTTACATTACTGTTATATTAATGCTAAATTGTCATATATTTATTCTTTAAAAAAAATGCGAAGAATTTCTCATTATCAATTCGTTTCATTTTACATTAAGACTAAGTTTACGTTTTACTATTTACTTAATTGTATATTTTCTTTTTTTCTTTTTGTTTCTTTTAATAGTGGAACAAAAGATAAAAATATATAGGTTTAATCAAACAGCATTAATATCTTATCATCCCATTCCACTATTAAAGAGAACAAAAAGAAAAAAGGAAAATATGTAAATAAGTAAATAGTAAAATGTAAACTTAGTCTTAATATAAAAGCAAACGAATTGATGAGAGACAAATTCTCGACATTGCTTTCAAAGAATCGGCATATGTCAATTTAACATTAATCCAATAGCAATTTGAATATAATGGGTCAGTTTATCCGTAGGAACAGAATTTAGTTATAAATTGTTGGCACTTGATCATTTAGATGAAACGTTTCTTGCTCATTAAGATGTGTTATAATGGAAAGTGTTTCAACCGTTTAAAAAGTGTCATTAGCAGCCAAAAACGCGTTAAAACAGTTAGAATTTTAACGATTCAAGCGTTTAAATTTGCAAATCGTGTTAAAATTCAATTTTTCATAAACTGTTTTAACGCGTTTTTGGCGACTAATGGCACTGTTTAAACAGGTTTAAACATGTCAATGTGTAAACCCGTTTAAACACTATTTTTGGCGTTTTCGTGTCTGTCTAGGTAGAGCTGATTTATTCAATATAAATATACAATATTGTATGAGTTTACCGCAGCATGCACTTCAATCTTTAGAAATAAATCGTGTCACACAAGTGCGAGTATTGGGTGATTATTGTATTCATATTGTTAAAAATATTTCACAATGGAAAATTGGTATTTCATCAATATTAGCTAATGCACTTGGCTTAGGTCCATTTAAAGATATCTTTTGGTCGAATGAATTTGAACCTGGTGCTCCTTATAGAACAACAGTGAGAGAATCTTTATCGGAGAGAGAAATATTAATTGCAACACTGTCAACTGGATCAGTTGCTTTTCGTGATGGAATTAATTATATTGATACAACACGTACTATGAGATGTTGTCGTCAAGATGGTCTCATTTTAAAACCTTCGAAACCTTTAACAACAAATATCTTATTAATTTCTGATTGGACGTTTAATAAAGGTATTACACAAGGCGAACTTTATTCAACGAAAGCAATGATAAAGAATCAAATATTTTCAATAATATTTGCATCATCAATGGAACGAAATTATTCATTAATTCCATCAATGATTGGATCATCATCTTCTGGATTAATTTAGTCATTTAATAATCAATATGAATTATTTACTTTTTATGAAAATCATTCTCTCTTTGTATTAAATGAAAAATGTAATGATACATTATTTTGGATTTGGTATAGTTCACTTTTATGGTATTTTAATGATTCTTTATCAACTAAATATGCTTTTATGGGTGAACTTAATGAATGGAGATTTATTAGTCAACAAAGATTTTATTCTTTAACTATTAATTCTGATAATATTCAAATGACAATAATGGTTAAAGGTGTACCAAATGAATTAGTTGATATTTTAGTCCATAATTCGAAATTCGAGTCAATTCTACATTTAATCTGTCATTTTTCTGATGAAAAGTTACAAGCTCCAATTATAATAAATTCTACAAATATTACTCGTTCATAAAGTAAAACAAATCATTTTCAATTACGAAATTTGATTTATTTCTATTTTACAAAAATAAGTTAACACTGTTAGTCGTATAAGTCAATTAAAGAGAATCTAATCAATTATTGATATCGAATTTACATAGGACAGCCAATAAGTAATGAGAGTGATACTTTAGTTTCTCATAAGAAGCTTTATAAACTTTTCTTTCTATATAGTCTTCTAGAGAAAACAATGCACTATTTTTCTATGCTATTTGATTATACTTCAACTAATATAATGATAATAAATTTTTGATAAGAGTTTTTTCGTTATCATATCTACTGGATGAAATTTCGAAACGCAGTTTTCAGTTCCTTAATACATTTTATAAAGGCTCAAAATATACCATAAGATGTAGCATGAAGGGTGGGTGTGAGTGTGGGCGTGGGTGTGGGTGTAGCTATGAGTGAAACCAAGATCTGCACCCACACTCACACCCACCCACACCCACACCCACACCCTCCATTACTCCATCAGTTGACAGTATCGAATACAATAGAACGATTAGAAAAACCATGGCGTCAGTTGAAGAAATTTAAAGAAACATCCTCGATTATTGAATATTCTCATCTTGTGGAACTTATCCTGTATGATGTACATATAGATTATGTGGAACAATTTCTTTCTAGCTTGAATACAAACCTACCTTGTCTTAGCAAACTTTGCGTTCGATATGAACATTTAACAACTATTACAGAGAATTTTACAAGAGATACAAAACGTATCAACTGTACAAAACTAAAATGTATTATCTTCGATGAAGTTATACATTTAACACAGCCAAGAAATTTTTATCTCTATTTTCCTTCTTTATAAAAAAAAATGTTGTTCTTGTATGTAGTTTTTGGATTTGTTTATTCAATCAATAGAATAAAATGGCAACATCTACTTGTATACTGAATCAAATTTCTCGACATAGCTGATTTCGTTGTGTATCGATCCACTTTCTTTCCAGAAAATGTGTTGTTATTTCCTTATCTTACAGTTGTCGGTAGTTTGTTCCATTAACGTCCCACCTTCTAATATCATCGATTCTACAAATGATTTCTTTTGATTTTGCAGTCGTCAAATTGCATGTTAAATTAGCTTGATATGTTGCTATTAAAATCACACTTAAAAAATATATACCAACAACTAATAATCGACCTGCAGCTGTACTAACATGAAAATCTACACTATATCCTATTGTCGTTCCAGAAAAATACCAGATATTTATTCCCATTTGAGAAAATGATTGTTTCATTTACAATGCTCTATTTTCTGGTCTTTCATATATATAAATTAAGACCGCAGACCATAAAAAAAACAGATAAAATGAATATCCAAACTATCCATGGGAATGGTTTTAAGTAAGAGAAGAAATCTGCACTAGCAGTAGATGTATCATGTATAATAATTCGTAATGAATTATCAAATATTGAACTTGAAAACTCTTTCTCTTCGTGCAGCGAGAATGGTCACATCACTTATTATCATAGCGTATATATTATTTTCTACAGCATCAATTAGTCCATTATAAGTTTGATTCGGTGGCAACGAAGTAATAATTGGAATAAATCCCATTTTCTTTCGTAAATGTTTAATAAGATCAGGTACATAGCCAATTGATTTTTGTATTATTTGTCTATATTTATCTTTTATTTCTTTAATCATTGTAAATGGAGCTACTTCAATAATTGCAATGCGTAAGGTTACACCTGAAAGCGTTGCATAACCTGAAGGAGTTACTAAAGAGTTTTCCAAGGGGGAAAAAGCGGATCCTCCGATCCTCGGAACCTTTGGATCCTTTGGAATCCTAGGATCTCAAAGGATCCAAAAGGATCCAAGGATCGGAGGATCCGCTTTTTCCCCTTTGGCTTAACGCATAAGGAAATCCATGCTTGTATGGTGTAAGCATGAGAACACCAAGCACCTCCAGATCAGAGATGAGCGAGCCAGCTAAAAAGTCACACCGCCACCGCCCCGTCCCGCCCCGTTGATAAAGTTTCGCACCGTCACCATCCCGCCTATTCAACAATAAAACCGTCACCGCCCCGCCCCATCTAAAGTCTGTCGTCAGAAGTCATTTATTCATGAAATTTTTAGTAACTTTTCATAATTACTATTATATTTCCTCAGGGCTGGTCCGACGCCCCCCCCAACTTTTGAAAAGTTTTTCTTTTTTCTCTGCAGAGGCGCGATGGAATTTTTTTCGGTTTTCGTCAAAAGTCTTATCTAAACACCTACTACATTTGTGACGATAAAAAAAAGATTTTTTACTAAAGCTACGAAAAAAAAATTTTCGAACCCCCCCCCCTCAACTTTCCATGGTTCGGGCCAGCCCTGTGTTTCCTGAGATGAGAAGGTATAATTTAAATACAGGATGACTTACATATAATTACATGACAATAAGAAATTTAAATGGCTCTACTTCTGTTCATGCAAATGGGCTCATTTTTTGGTTGGTAATAGAACTCTCCTCAATTTTTTTCTATTTGAATAATGTAAGTAAATCAAACTGTTAAGTATTTCAGTTGACGTCAACAAAGCAACTTCACTAGTTATCAAGTAAAAAACCACATATGAAATATTGTGTAGATGATTTTTAGTTATCATTTGACAGAATGACTTGAAAAAATTCAAACAAATCTTTTAAATGATACTACATTGATGTACATATAGAAAACTTTCTGGATTAGCTACTTTAAATACCGGAACTAGTGCTTGATAACTAAAACGCGTATCTGAAAGCCTTTAGTTACCCAGTCGGCAAGTTTTCAACAAAAATCAGTGTTCCACGTCTGAGACTTCGAAACATTGTAATTGCTAACTTTCAAATTGACTGGTTGAGAAATTTCTCTCAATGTCATCCATATAGTATCACTCAGCAGATTTATTTGAATTTTTTCAAGTCATTCTGTCAAACGACAACTAAAAGTCATCTACACAATATTTCATATGTAATTTTTTGCTTGACAACTAGTAAAGTTGCTTTGTTGACGTTAATTGAAACACTTAACAGTTGGATTTATTTACATTATTCGAAAAAAAAAAGTTGAATCCTTTTGAATGACCAGAAGTAGAAATATTTAAATTTCTTGTCGTTATGTTATTATTTATAGACCACCCTGTATATAAAGATAAAATTTTGAAATAGAAAAAAAATAAACATTTAAGAAAAATGTTAAGAAAAACTCAATATTGTCAAGGGGCGGGGAAACCGCAAGATCTTGCGACGCACCGTCACCGCCCCGCCCCGTCAAGTTTCTGCACCGTCCCGCCGACGGGGCGGGGCGGGGCGGTGTGAAACCGCGGCTCGCTCATCTCTGCTCCAGATCATAGAGTTTCTAATTGGTTTCATAAATTCAAATAGAGCAATTACAGTGTTGAAGATGTTGTCTGAGTAACAATTGAAAATGATCCTCATTCAACAGTCAAGATCTCCATCGTCGGCTAACTTAAGTCATTCCATCACCATTTTTTGTAGGTTCGGGTGTGTGGGGTTGACGTAGTTTATTTGTTTCAGCAACATCCAACCGAGACCTGCACTCACACACACAGGGCGGTTGCCTATGTATTCTTAAATGATCGTCTACGAAAAGTCCAGCAATCAAAGCCAAGCAATGCATCATTTGGATCAAGTTTCTTGCTATATATAACTTTAAGTATCATTAGTTTTCTAAGCCGTTGAACGTTTCAATTTAACTATGACAGTAATTCTCGTTTTTGGCTAGTTTTCGTTGTGATTTGAAACACATTTCTATGAATTAGAATATTGCCCTATAAACGGCGTGTTCAACACGTATGGAACTATTTCAGACAAAAAAACTGGCGTATAATATCACGTAAAGCTGTAGCACTGGACGGGTGTTAACGCGCTTTCAAGGTACTAAGATGTGAGCTCTGTTATTCCCTCCTTGCTGAATTTTACTCGAAAAAAAAGCATAATACAAGCATTTTCATCCGAGCTCGAAAAGCAAAGTACTTTGCAGTATGTTGTTCGTCCTTTCAGCATTATTTGGTTTAAACATATCATCAACTCGAGCAGCAAAGCTGCTCATGAAGACGGCTACCGTTCGAGTTTTTTTTTGGAGATAAGGTTATCAATATCGATCGTTTCAGTGTTTCCTATCGACTTCGGATGCATTCATCATGTACTTTGGAAATCCTTATTGTCTTGATGACATTCCTAGAGTAAATCATATTAACAACGTCGGTACTCAATATGATTTTTAATTATACTAGTGTAAATAGACGCTATTCGAAGCTCATACTGAATCTTTTTGTGGAACTCACATATATTTTCGAAGAAAATAGTGAGTGTAAGTTTTAAGTTCAAGTTTTCGCGGCTTCTCGCCCTCTCGTTCCCTCATCATTACGGACACTTATCAACGAAGGTCCCATTTACAGACACCCCCCGTTGCAGACCTTAGTAATCGAGAATAATAGGCGTCAGTTTTTCTAGAGGTTTTGCAGAATTGACTAAGTTATAATTTTGAAAAATAATAAATATCATTATTTGTGAGTTGATTGATATATATAATAGTGCATAAGATCTGCTATAGATACCATAGATATGTAAAACGGGCTTATTTGTCAATCAATTCAATGATTATAATAATAGAAATGTTGAATTAAGAAAAACAAATTAAAAAAAATGAAAAATAGCGAGCGAATAACAACAATGCAAGCAAAAAATAGGGCGTCCGTAGAAAAAACAAAAAATTTCTGTTCGAAATTCAGAAATTAGATAGGTCCTTGCTCTGATGATTAATTATCATGTAAAACAACTGTAACCTGCAAGAGATTTTTCACTTTACATATTTTGTATTAGTTTAATGAGGCTAGAGCGCATATATGAGTTCCACATTTCAGCGACCATGAGGCTGCGCTAACAAACTTTTTTCGATGTGTCAGATTTGTTTACCGCAAATCAGATATAGACATTCGTATATGATGAGTCACTATCATAAACTTTTCAAACCTATTTTATGAACATAAGTAATCTATTGTTAGGATTAATATTTATTTCAATGCAAACAAGCAAATGTTCAAAAGTAATAGACGTTAAGTATGTAGTATAAATGACCTTTGCTATTTGCCAGGTGATGTATACTATGTTCTGTCGTGTTAAGAGCGGATAATTAATCTTTGTGTTCAATAAAATGCTAGTTTACGCACAGAAATGATTCGGTTCAACTTAATTTGCTTTCAAGAGTAGACCATAGGGACGGATTGCTTTTTCATCGAACACTCGTAATGCCAATCCATCACGGACTGGACTTCGGTGTTCTGTAAATTTGTCATTCTGAACCCGACATTGAAATACAATGTAATATGTTTTGAAGGTGCCTGGTGGGCCTTCGATTTTGAAGCCTGGATTAGCATAATCTGCAGCACCTCGCTCACAATGTGTTGCAACATACAATCCTTTGACATCGGGAACAGAAGGCCGTTGATGTTTTGCTTCATCTTTACAAACATCCGTGGCGACAAATTTGTGCTGTAGGCCCGTATTTATAATATTTTTGACAACACCCGCTTGTCTTCCATGATAGGCAACGATCCACTCTCCGGGTGAATTATTCATGCCGAGCCACAACCGATCGTTTGGATATTTACCTTCAACGTTCAGTGCATGACGATACCATCCTTGTGGAAAATAGTATGGTCGTCCGCCTCGCTTTTCTTCTTCAGCATGAGGATAATCACGATTGTATCGAGGATCAAAATCTGATTCTTGCAATTGCAAAAAGGTGGGTGCTGTCTCCAACTTATAATTATAAGGTTCTGGAATTAAATATTGCAAAATTTTCTGTTGTTGTTTAGGTGATAGGTGATTCAATTTATGCTTTAGCTGTTCAGCAAACTTTTTCGTTTCTTCGAATTCTGGCGTTGTTATACCACATTCGACAATGATTGAAGATGCACGACTAATCGAAAACACTCTGATGAACTCTTTCTTACATCCGACATTAGCAACAAGATCATTAATTAATGTGACAGTGAAATCTCGTAGGCTCTGGGCGGACGATGTAATATCATCATAGTTGAGTTTCAAATGTAATTTAAATTTGGCTGTTTGTAGATTTTCCCCTGCTGCAATCATCGAATGAATACTACCAAGATTACCTACTCCACAAGCTGTTCGATAGTCACTGTCATCGTATTGAAAGGCTTGTTCGGTAAAAGTGAGACGGGCGCCAAGTTGATGAGCAAGTTCACTAACTATGACGACTACTGTCTCAATGTTATTGACGGCGGGAGTAAACGGCTGAGCAACAAAATCAATTGGTTGACCTTTATTTTTCATCGACCTGTAGATGGATAGGCATTCAAAAGTACGAACATCAATCGGAGAATTTTTGTTGTAATGAACCGGCAAACATATTTTGTTTGCAGAAGGTAATTTGACCGGCTCGAACCATGCTGGTGTCACAGATAGAGTAGTCACTTGGTTGGTAGTACTAGTAGCAGTAACAACCGGTATAGGTGTAGCTATGACATCGGTTGGAATAGAGATATTTGGCTGATCTGATGTACCTAAAAATGATTTTTTAATATGATTATATCACATGAATATCTCTTTTCAACAACTCATTAAGTGCAAGTGTAAAACTTCTCTTTTCATCTTTTTTGGTAACAGTTTTAGAACATACCTAATGCAGGTGGTATTGGATCAAGGGGGAAACAGCTGATTATTTGATTAGATATGATTTTAAGTGATTAGGAGTGATTAGTAATGATTAAGAGTGATTAGTAATGATTAAGAGTGATTAATAATGATTAGGAGTGATTAGTGGTGATTATGAGTGATTAGCAGTGATTATGAGTGATTAGCGGTGATTAGGAGTGATTAGGAGTGATTAGGATGATTAGCGGATTTCTAATCAGCTGTTTCCCCCTTGGAAAAAATGCAGCGCAAATAAGTCTTGGTTTTGTTCTGTCCAATTTTAATAACTGGCATCATTGGCAAGAAACGACGTAGAGAAAGAAAGACAGAAATACAGTCAAAAAAGTGGTGTGGTTGGTGCCATAATGGTATTTATGCGAAGCCTACCATTACACCCTCACCCATTATGTCGGTAGACGCAAACCCAGGAGCTTAACAGTTGAGCTACAACTATGTCTGTCGAAGTAGCACTCATTATACAACAACTGCGCATTAAAACAACACTTTTCTAGTTACCTACATAGAACTCAAATGCATTATAACTATTGCAGTTCTGATGCATAAAAGATGAAATTTACTTTAAATTTTAAGAAAAGGATGAAGGCAAAAAAATTCTCTGCATCTATTTGCGACAGAAAAAAAATCACTGTCTGTAAGAAACAGTCCAAGTGTCCTGCCGAAGCAATCGTGCAAGAGAAAATGAAGAAAGAAAAAAAATCGAAAACGATTCTGTTCGTGTTGAATGATGGAAGAACGAAAAAAACAATTAACGTAAATATATTCGTTTGTTACAAATAACTACAAGGGATAAACAAGACACTTGCTTGAATCTTGAGTCGAAATTTTATGATGAAAAAGTATGAAGTTGAAATCGTCACTTTTAGTATCTGAAAATTGTTTTGTGCATATATTTCTAATAGATCAGAATCAGAGATGAGCACAGGACAGGACGCGATTTTGATTTTTGTCCTGTCCTGCCGCCCGCCAGGACAGAGATTGCCAACAGGACAAAACAGGACAGGACGTGATTTTGATTTTTATCCTGTCCTGCCGCCCGCCAGGACAAAGATAGCGATTTGAACAGGACGGAACAGGACAGAAAAATTTCTCATGTGAACTTTTTCGTTCTATTGTTATTGATATTTTTATAAACGACTATCATTTTCGACGTGTCTCTTTTTAACACTCGACGTATGTGGTGAGTGATAGATATCGCCGAGAATGAATTGTAACACAAATTCAAATATTCGTTGAAAAAAAGCTACCAATTAGATGTAATCATTGATGATTCAGAAATTTTCAGTCACAATACAAAGAGAAAATAACACGAAACAAGTGTTCTTTGTCCTTTTCGCCTTGAATGTTTTTTTGTTTTACTTTGTATTTTATTTATTTCGATTTATTGACTATCAAAATAAATATTCAGCATGAGAAGTAGTAAAATTTTATCATTGTCGAGTACATTAAATTCCTCAAAAACTAAACAATTACCTAAATACGAAATAAAAATATAATGTTATAAAAAAGAATCCTCAACACCATTAATAGGTTTGTCGAAAGTCTTTCGTTATGCAGGAAAATTAGCTTAACATGATGTATTTCAAAGAATGTCAGGATATATTAGTTGTTTCAATTGTTATAGTACATTTATTCATGAAAATAGTTGTTTTCTTGTGATAAAAGTCTATGCTGTTGTTCCTTTTAATAGTTAGTATCTAGTATAAAATAAGACAATGATATTACAATGAATAATGTTCATTTTTTTTGTGTTTTTTTCTTGTCATGGATGTGCCATCAAGATATAAAATTAAGATTTTATTATATTTTGTTGTACTTATAAAATAAGTGATGATCTAGAGTGTACTTCTTGTATTTGAGGATAGTAAACAATAAATTAGGTCTAACGTGAATAATAGTAAGATCTGCTTTGATCAACGACAGGAATGTTCCCAAGGAAAAAAAAGTGGGGGTCCTAGGTATAGATCCCTGTACCCCCACTCGGGACAAATTTCTTACATTGAGATTTTAAAATAAACGTTCTAGTGCAGTTTTACTATAGGAATCCACTATTTTTCAAAAGTGGGAGGATGTGGACTCCCTATTCTCACGTCGGCAGATCCCTGATTAACGATAGTCAGATTAAGGACTCTCGTGATCGACTCTCTGTCGCTCGAAAAAAATGGAATGAATTAGCAAAAAAAACTAGGACAAAGTTGTCATGTATTATCCTATCACCCGTCAGGACACAAAAAGTCAGCAGGACAAAGCAGGACAGGACAAAAACAGGACAGGACACGATTTTGATTTTTGTCCTGTCCTGCCGCCCGCCAGGACAGAGATTGCCAACAGGACAAAACAGGACAGGACGTGATTTTGATTTTTGTCCTGTCCTGCCGCCCGCCAGGACAGAGCTGGTTATCAGGACAGGGCAGGACAGGACGAAAAAACTTGTCCTGTGCTCATCTCTGATCAGAATAGATAAAAATAATCTGTAAAAGAGAAACATATTCTTCTTATAATCTCTAAAAAACATGTTATTGCTGCTCAAGTTGATATCTCATTTATCGTTGTAACACTTCTTCTTCCGCAGTATTATGTTCTCTCATATCAGATCATTCTTCACTTTATTTTTTTCTTCCTAGAATTAAACAATGCGAATGCAAAAAAAAAAGCTCATTGAAATAAAGATTCTTTTTCTGCATATATAAAGTTTGTTTTATACAAGAATAAATTCAAGTATCTATTAATAGTCTTAACATAGAAGAATGAACCTAACTAAAGAAAATCACAGATTTCATCATGAATATGTAGTCATGAGTTAGAGGTCAGTTAAATTTTCAGTGTTAGCTAAGAGAAGAGGTACACCCAAACTTAGAATCTACTCTTTAGCTGCGGCTCACTCATTTTACGAACTCAAACTTTCTTATGTTTTTCGTTACGGTTGTCAACTGGTTTTATTTTGATTTTGAATTGACAAAAAAAAAACAAGTCCATTAGTCAATGCTTCCACTACCATATAAAAGCAGAAATAAAGCTGGTTGGCTTCTATTGACTATTTTTGGACATCTTTATAACATGACACTACTGATGGAATTACGCACATGATGTCGATAAATCAATAGAACGACAAAATATTTTATTTTTATCATCCATAAAAGATAAAGCAGTAACATTACATCGAACTATTTAATTATAACATGATGTTGCTCAAGTTACGCCCTTCTTCCACCTTAAAAATCGATCTCAGGCTAGGTACATGCTGAAAGCATGGAATTTTTAGAATATGTAGGCACTGAAGTGAAGAAGTTGCGGTAAAATTTTCAGCCTGATAACATGATATTTGAGGGAGATATTCGACAAACAAGAGTCAAATACAGCTCATTTGGTAACCCAAATTTCTCTGTCCAGACTCACTCTATATATTTAACTTTTTCTTGTTTGAAAGAGCATATCAGAGGGTGTGGATGTGTATTTTCTCTTTATCCATTTCCACACCTACACCCTTCATCACCAAAGCCTAATCATCTATGGCAACATAATTCCATAGAAAGTCGGTTCATTAACTTTGTTTAGTACATCACTTGATGGTGATAGAAGAAAGTTAATTTCTTTTATCAATTTTTAATGATGTTGATAAATTTGTGAAAAAGTACAATAGAAATACATTTAGGAACTATATGAAAAATTATGTGTGGGTGTTGCTCTTCTCTTCATCCACATCCACACTTTAAGCCAATGAATTGTTTTTCTTGATATGTTATCTTTTTTTTTTTTTTGATAATACTTGACCACGAATATTTGTTTTATAGGATGAATGATATCTTCTATTTAATTAAATAACAAAGCATATCTTCGCATACAAATATATATTAGATTGAAAAGATACGAACAAAAATGATCGTAATTCAATATGAATAAACAAATACTTTGAAATAGTATTTCTTATAAAACTTGTATCTATCATTCTAATTAAAGTTCAACGTGCTCGATGTCTGTATATCGTAATGATTTTTTAAACATCCAAAAATATTTTATAATCGTACGTTTCACCAGTCATAATATGTCCAAATGCTGAAAGTTGCCTCTAAGATACTGGTAGTAAGAAGATATTATTCATAATTATGAATCCAGCGACATAATTCAATGAAATGCCTACAATTTTAGAATAAGCTCATCAACTTTGAATAATATGAATGTTTAGTTATTAACGAACTCGAGTAGATTGCTGAAGAGAATATAAAGATGCACAGCAGAATGCAAAATATGATACATAGGGAGACAGTTTTCGTTACAAATGTGTAATACCCGTAAAAAGTCTATAGAATACATTTGTATCATTTTTATATTCAAACATTAAAAAAAGATTAAACTAAAGAATTTCAATCAGTAGGGTGTAGATATGATTGAAGAGAACTCTTGTTCAAATCATTTGAAGGATCAACTATTTTTATCAAAAAAAAGATGGCAAAAGCTTAAACAACACTTTGTTCAAAAATTTGATGGAATGTTTCGAAAAGATGTCGCAGAATCTTAATAATGAACAACATTGGATGAAATATGATCACTGATAATTTACATATCATATATTCGTGATCAAAGAGTATTTGAAAGAATTTTTTTTTTTGAAAAATCTTATTCGATGATATTATTTATAATAATCAAAAGCTGAGTTATGTCTATGCAAAAAAGAAACAGACATATTCATCTGTATTTCAATGGAACAAAACGAAAAAGGAGTGATATGAATATTGCATTCGTTTGCAGGAAAGAAAAAGAACTGACGTATACGTGTCTCTTGATCGAGGCATTTTTTTTTGCTTTAAAGCAAGGAGAACGACATTATATTTGCATTGTGAGGTCAACATTTCTTCTTCTTTCTTATATGAACTACTAGAAGAGCACGTCGCGTCGAAAATTTGTGTACTTGTTTCATTAAAATTTTTCAAACTCGAACGCAGATTCCATCCGAATTCATAATATTCTCAATAAAATGTTTAAATCCGTCTTGATAGTCGAACTGAAGATACGAGATACTTTTTTTTTTGCTTATTCAGATTTAGTAACTAGTACGTCTTACATATTTTTCAGAACATCTTGACAACGATCGTATAAGAATGCGGTCATAACTGACTTTTACTTTTAGAGTAGTAACTAGTTAGGTCAGGTCCGGATTCAAAACAAACTCGATGGGTTCTAACTGTTAGTAAAATTGGTAACGAGTTGTATATTGCTGTGATTTTATCCACTTTAGTTTTCGTTTTGTGTCCTTTTCTGTTTCATAGACATGATGCCGTTATCGTCAAAAGCGTCGATAAAAAAAAATGACTATCAGTTACTCTATTTTGTTACCATGTATAAGCGGTAGAGAGAGAGAGAGAGAGAGAGAGCAGTCGTGAACGAGTTTCTTTTACTACTTGTAGTAATTTTTTCTTTCTCTTCTATATATTATTGGTGAGCGTCATTATTTGCATTCTTTTATTTAGTCGACATAGCTTGCCATGCCTACGAAAGCAAGTCAAAAATTTCAAGGTCCAAGCCTTTATAAAACGTTTGTTGATGCTTATATGAAAGCTCGACCTGATGAAAAACGAACTGTAAGTTCATTTTTTTTTTTGATGAAAATAAATAATTAGATTCTTTTTTTTTTGAAATAGACAAAACATCATGATGCTCAAGCTGAATGGAATGAAATAAAATGGAATGAAGAATATGTTAAAGAAAAAATCGAAGAATATTTAGAAATATATAATAAACTTATTGGATCTTCTAATCAAAATTTTGAACATCAACCATTATCTATTTCTTCAAACCAACTAAAAACTAATCGTAATCGACAAATAAAAAGAAACAACATAAATCAAGATAATAATGAAAATATAAATGATGATGAACAATCGAATGGTTCTGATGATCTTAATGATGATGGTGATGGTGATGATGATGATGATGATGATGATCATGATGATGATGATGATGAAGATCAAGAAAAATATAAAAAGAAAACAATCCATAATATTAAAAAAAAACGTAAACTAGTTGATGAAGAATTGATTGAAGATCCACAAGCATTATCATCTGGCGGCCGTCTTTCATTTGAACCATTAGTAAAAGATAAAAGACAACCGGCACAAGAACGTGTTTATAACGAATTAAGTGCAATTAATGATCGAATTGCTTCATTAATACAAGTTAGACAAATGGGTTTATTAACAATAGAAAATAGAAGACAATTAAAACAATTAATGAAAGATAGAAAAACAAAAACTTATGCACTAAGACGTCTTCAATCGAGACAAAAAGCTTCAAATAAATATAGAGTTAAACGAAGAAAAATTGTATTAACATTTATTTTTTTTCTTTCTTGTCTTTTTTGTTTTTATTTGTTCGGTTATTTATAGGTTGAACATTTATTTGAAACAAAGCCTGAATTACATCCACAATTAAAAAAAATTTATCGTCCTGGTGGTGGTCGACCACGAATTGAAGAACAAATACCTAATTTATTAGAAATAATTGAAGAAATTGCAAAAGTTGGTGGAGCAAGTGATGATCGAAGACGATCAGAAACTATTCGACCTTGTTTAACATTAGATGATTTAAGAGAAAAAATTCGACAAAGAGGCTATGATATTAAAAGAACAACACTTTATTATCGGTAAATAATTAAAATTATATAAAATAAGAACATCTTAAATATTTAATAGAGAGAGAAATAAGTTTTATGATGACGACATTTTGTTTACTAAATCGATTTATACACTACTTTTTTTTATCTGAATGAAGAAAATTTGTTCCGTGTCATGTTTGCAGAAATTCGAGTTAAATGTAGTATAACTTGAGAGACTAGTTCTATTCAAATAAGTTTTCCCATTTATAGTAAACAAAATTAGAACCTTTTAATAATTATATTCGAAGTAAATTTATTTCAATTTTGAATTTCAACACAAAATACTATCAACTCAGATTATTTTCCATTGAAAATATGAGTGATTGTTTGTAGAGCATTCAGTCTAATAGAATCTTAATGATTTCTTCATGGACTATAAACATATGCATAATTTGTCAAGAAAAAAAAAGATTACAACTCTGATCCATTTCAGAGTTGTCTCAAAAGATAAGTTAAAAAGAAAATCATGAGAAACGTTTGAAACATATATATATATATATGTAGGTAGACAACATTTGTTGTGGTAATTCCAAATATATTATCTATTTTGATTGAGAAGTTAATAATTATGATAAAAATTACTGAACATTGGACAAAAAAAAAGACCGTTTTTACTTCTCCACACAAAACTTTCTTTACTCGAAATATATTCATCTGAATTCATGATCTTAAATATTTGAATTTACTGATAAAAATTTCATCAGTAAAAAGAAAATATCTATCAAAGGGCCGCAACTACATCTTTCTTATACCAGCTGTTAAACATTTTGACTGGGACTTCTCTGACAAAAGAATTTAGATGAAACGCTCAAATTTGATTAAAAAATAGGTTAATATTGTTTAATTAAATATTTTTTCATGGTGATTAGGGATAGACCAGCTCAGCTCACGAACTCCGTTCAAATGAGCTAAAGAACTGCTCGAACAGTTCTTCTGAGCGAACTGAACCGTTTCCAAACAGTTCGTTTTAAATGAGCTGAACTGTTCGAACACCTCATTCGAACGAACCGAACTTTTTGCAGGGGTACCCATAAGTCTTCAAGGACTGCCCTAGAGTTGCCGAGAACGCTCTATCGATTGATGGATATATGTGTGGGTCCCAGTGGTTTCTTTCGTGGTGACATAGAATCCCACTATCTGATTGGCTGAAAAATTGGCCAATCCCTATAGGATGGCCCTTGAGGAGCTCGAGATATCCCTCTATAATAGGACTTGTGGGCCTCGAAGTACCCCTATATAATAGGGCTTTAGGACCTGGAGATACCTCTATATGATAGCGCTTGAAGACCTATGGGTACCCCTGTAGGGTAGCCCTTGAGCACCTATGGGTGCCCTACAAAAGGTTCGGTTCGTTCGAATAGTTCAGTTTGTGTCAGTGAGCTTTTTCAACAGCTCATCATTTTTGAGCGTGAGCTAAGCTTGTCGACTCTTAGTGGTGATTTCAACTATTCACCAAAAAGGCTTCTGGAGATAAACCATCTACGTTATTCATCTTATTAAACTTTTCTTATCCTGATCGGATTTTATTAATGTTTGAAATGTCCACACATTAAATTTCGATTAAAGAAATAATTTGTTTTTGATGATCTAAATGTACTAGTATAAAATCTTGTTTTTGTTTTTTTTTTCTTTCAAAATATTTAGTCTATTACCTCATCGTGCATCATCAAGAGATGGTCGTCGTCATGTTAATACTGCTCCTGTTCGTCTTCGTCGTGCTCAAAATGATGATCATGGAAAACATGAAGATGGTCATTTTGCTACGGCAACAATACGTTATATGAAAGATTTAGCTTCAATATTCGGCAATGATTGTGTTCTTTATTTATCTCAAGATGATAAATGTAAAGTTCCATTAGGTTTACCTGCAGCTAGAGTTCAAGCACCAATGTTAATGCATTTGGACTATCGAATAAGTTTACCAGATCATGATTGGGTAGTTGCACCACGACATCAATTAACACCAAGTGTATATGCCGCATGTCTTTTATCTGAAAATGGAGATTTAGGTTATTCAGGTCCAACATATGTAGCTATACGTTCAGCTAAACATGATCTATCAACTGCTGAATCTCATGCAACAGATTTTGATCGTCTTGTTTGTTTAAAAGAATTTGAAAAAGTAGCACGTGATGAAACTGGACAAGTTAAACCAATTATTATTGTTACTGTTGATGGTGGTCCTGATGAAAATCCACGTTTTCCAAAAACACTTGTTGCAAATATTAAAAAATTTAAAAAATATAATTTAGATGCACTTTTTGTTCTTACACATGCGTAAGTTTTTTTTATATTTTAATATTAAAAAATTTTTAAATATATTTCTTTTTTTTTTTTTTTGAGTCCTGGTCAATCAGCTTATAATATAGTTGAAAG